GTTTGTGATCGTCAACTGTGGTGCAGATAATATCTACCAGACGCCATAGGTATGACAATCTTTGAAAGTACATTCGCTTTCTTCGAGGAAACGTTCAACCAACGTTGATAGACAAGGAGCATTGGTGGGAGATTTCCACAGAACCGTCACCATGAGGTTAGGCGCTTCCAGGATCTTGGGAAGTGTTGGAGCGCCGTTGTATGGACGCCAATCAAGTGTCCAGCGACCGCTCTGGTCTCCGTAGGTAGTTGGCCCTGGGGATCTGACGATCTCATAGGCCTATAGAATGAGAGCACGTAGCCACAAGGATATTGTGGAATGGCTAATCGTCTATCTGCGCGGTTGTCACGGGTGTGCGTCTGTAGAGGCGCACTTAGGAGAGGCGCAAGCAGAGGCGCAAGGATAGGTGCAACCAGAGATGCTAGGATAGACACTGTTATGGACGCTGTAGACGGCGCTTTTGTAAAGGTGTCTGTATAGGCGTCCGACGAGGCACTCGCGTCTGTATAGGCGTTTGACGAGGCACTGGCTTCTATATCGGAGCTGTTTAAGGATAGGCGCTATCTGTGTAGGCGCTAGTAGAGGCGTCTGCAGAGGCGCTGTGGACGGCGCTTGTAGAGGCGTCTGCATAGGCGCTGGGGCAACAGGTGTCAGTGTCTGTTGCATGGCTCTCAAGTACTGGATGTACTGGAGGAGAGGGGCTTCCATCATAGGCGTCTGGGCCGTAGGCGTCTGGGCCGTAGGCGTAGTGCCTGTTGGGCGCCATGCATCTGTCCGGTGGACTGGATAGGCGCCTTTAAGACAGATGCAGTAGTGGTCGTCAGGGAGCTCTGGGTAGAGACAGACCATGGGGCCCAACATCATGGTAGTAATGGAGGTCGGGGAGTTGTCGTCAAAAATTGCCGATCTGGTTGTGGGCGAATACTCTGATAAGTCAGACATCTGGCACCAGTGTTTGGGTTTGAACAAGTTTATGCTACAGATCAAAGCAAGTGACAAGAGTAATGTGAGGGTCCGTGACGTCACTTCCTTTGGTCAAGTGGGAGCTGCGTGATAGGGTTGGCCTCTCAGCTAGTTGGAACATCTTCTTCAAGCAAAGACCTTCACACAGCTCTTTTCTCTGTCAAGAACAAGCAGTAATATGCATTAAGGAGTAATGCAGGATAAGTAAAAAATATTGGTTTCTAATTACGCTTTCTTGCCGAAATCTACTACAAGGTTCTTGATTGATCAAATTTAAGCACGTGACCTCAGGCAGTAAGTCAAATTACAGCTATGGTAACGTCCTCGTGTATGATGAATTTCAGATTTTGAGAAAGATTTTTCTTAAATCGTGTTATTCTGAACGTTTAAAGCAGGAAATCGCAATCTGTATTAAAAATATAGAGCTTCGTGGATCCGATGTATCGTGCTAGGTTACGTGCTGTGACAAAGATTTATTATGCATATATTTTGGCAGTAAACATCGTGTCCGAGCCGAGAATTCGAGGCGACAAAAGCCGAGATGTCATTTGACTAACATTACACGTGATTGCATGAAAAGATGGAAATAATAACTTAGCTGTAAGTTTGACAACTTTTAGTGAGCGAGTGAGTGAGTTGGGTTTAACGCCGCTTTTAACAGTATTCCAGTTATATAGCGGCGTGTCAAGCTTAATGTGGGAGAAAAGCCCGAAGTGATGCAGGTCTCAGACGTTTACCACTTCGGTGAAACCCACGAGCACGGTTATGGTGCTGACAAACCTAGAAACATAATCGGGGCGAACCGGGATTCGAACCCACAATCATAGGTTCCTGGCGTGCCCAAGGGACGCAACTCTGCACAGCGAATTGTGGCGCCTTAGACGACTGGGCCACCCGTGCCCCCTGACAACTTGTAGATATATTTTTGTAGATTTCATTTATCCCTTTGTATAAACTATTTAATGATTTGCTTGAAACATCTTTATTTTGCTCTTTGACATGTTCGATGTGGACCCGAAGTGTGTGCCCAAGAATTATATTTTTAATAACATTGAAGGAAATAGTGAATAATTTTTTAATCTATCGATAAAAAATGATAGATTGAAATGGAATACGTATTTCAGACATTGTGAAATGTGATAGATTTAACAAAGGAATGGTATGACAGGTAGGTTAATAAAATTATATACTATTTTGACGTGACTACGGCTTGGCCTGTCTACCGGCCTACGGTGTCTGGGGACTCAAGGCTGCTTGGCCGGTCTACAAGCCTACACCGGCCTACAGTGTTGAAAGAGTTGCTCCTCTAAGTACTATTTCTAGTTCATCAAGACACATCCATTGCAGATATGCAAAATATCCTTGGCTTTATTCATTCTTCAGGAAATTACTAGGAAGTTATCTTAATGACATAATAACTTTGATAAAATATTCCACTAATTACGAGAATGTTAAGAGGGACATTTTGAATAATTTTAAAGTTTAACACATGTTCGAAATGTAAAATATTTATTTTACTTGTGACACAAGGTCATTGTCAGTGGAATTAAACTTGAAATCTCAAGGCCAGGGAAGGTAAACATCACACAGCACTGCCATGTTGACTCATCTCAACATACTCCGCTCAACATCGAAATATGTATTTGTTTGGCTCAGTGAAACGTTTTGTATTGGAACAAGCCTGAAAACTGGATTGAAAGATTGGCAGCCATATGTCAGCTATTCTTCATTACTTTGATGACATAAATATGTCCAATGTTGGCAGTTAGTGCACAATGCAATCTTTATTCATCTGTTTCTCAGTGTCCTGATAATGTGCAAAAACCATGGTGAGGGGAATAATGGCTGCATCCAAGATGGCAGGCTTTATTACTCGATCAATGTTTAAAATGAGGGTGGCTAGAATTGTTGGGACAGAACAAATCGCTTTGTTTATTTTTTCTTGCTGTTCAAAAGAATATTTTTCTCATTTGCCAGCTAGCCATCCAAGGTAGAGTGTCATTCCGGCAACCCTTTACAGAAAGGCAAACTATTCGCTAAAGACTCACGTAGCCAAAATTCACAATAGGCTGTGATAAAACACCAACACAAAGAGACAAGAGTCTTGGCCATCTAACAGAATCTGCCCGACATGTTCTTGGTGCATGAACAAAGGAAATGAACTGTGAAAAAATTAAAAGAAACTTCTTGTGACAGATTGGTAAAAATACACATTAAAAATTATCTCAGTTGTTACAATCCCTGACATTCAATTCTTCATACATACAGGGTACAAAATGTTCATAAAGTTCTCATGTATCAGAAACATTTGTCATGTTTTTTTGCCATAACCCATCATTTCTCATATAAAGGCAGTAGAGCAGATATGACAAAAGCTAAACTTAACCTGTCCTTATTTTCTTCTTCAAAACTTAATTGTGCAAGTCCAGAAGAGGCAAGATGGAACAGGGTCATGTTCAAGATTATTGCACTCATACAGCGACATGTCTGTGTGTCTGTCTGGGATAACAACAAACATAGTCTTTTAACATCTTTTGGTATGAACCGTCCAGGGACAGAACCACCAACCTTCCTTCCTTCAGACAGACAGACGTTCTATCCGCTAGACTCCAGAGGCGGTCTCTATCCAGAAGGACAAACAAGGGATGTTCTTTCTCTTTTACAGTTTGGTAATATACTTTGTGAATAATATCAGAATGAGACTTGACTCCTGAAAAGCTTAAATGACCTGCAAATATCATACAATACAAAAGAATTAAAGCAGACACTCCAAATAATGCAGGACTCCTTCTTGTCAGTGCTATTCTTAGAATTAACCAGCACATCGCAAAGGATTGACATTTTCACCACTTGAACCATACTGGTAAATGCAATTGAACTTCATCCAGTGACTCAAACAATCTTAACTTTCATAACATAAATATACTCATATATAGGATTACATGTAAATGTGAATTGTTTTTTACAAATGATATTATACTGATAATAATGAGTACATTTTGACATTGGAAATAAAAGAAAATATTTAGACTTTTCAAAGCATTTTATTGTATGCAAATGTTGTCAAGTAACATGATTAGTTTTCAAGTAGCTTTCAACTAGCTTTCCTCAACATCAATATGTTTACTGTATTCGAAAAATGAAGACATCTACTTTGTTCTGGTCACTCTCCTGCCACCTAGTGCACTCGACACCTAGTACACTCGCCACCTGTCACAAGTCTGCTGACCAATTAACTCAGGTGTTACGGACAGTAAAACATGTTTATGACAGCTATTAGCTGCAGGGCAGATAAAGAGACAGAGAAAATAAGCATGAATCATTTGTTGTACCTAATAAACTATTATTGTATTAGATCCACAGACCCTTGATGTGCTGACTTTAACACAAATGCATGTACCAGGTGCTCTGCAAGAGACCATATTCACTTCAGTGACTGAAGCCATAAGTCTTGAAGCCAGTAAAACCTCTTTCGGTCTTGTAATCATAGCTAATAAAGTCTGTATAAACATTAAAATCTACTGGAAATGACGTAAAGTGACAAATTCAAGCCTGCAGACTCAAACATATTTGGCATGTTTGGTAAAGACTGTTCAGTATGAAAGTATGGTAGGTTCATTATTACCAACATCAACAATAGGTTTAATAACATCACTAAAAACACACAACTAGTACAAGAACATGCCCACATACATGCATATTGATGTAAAGTAACAAAACAAATATCAACATGATTCTCATGCAGAGAAACCACCTCTGTTGAATTATGGTACTTTTTCAGGAAGTGTAACTTTCAGTTAGAAATTAAGGGAGTCTGGGATTTGCTGCAATAATATTTGAATTTAGGGACCCCTTTTAACAAGTGGTTATAACAAGGACCACTTAGCAGTGTTTGAAATAATTTTAAAACACAACAAGACAGTAGGGCAGGAATGACAAGTGACCTATAAATGTTGCCTGGCCATCTTCAAAGTCATCTGACCAAGTTTTCTGTGCAGGGTGTGACTTGAATGAGGCATGTGTGAAGCAATACTCACTCCTTGGTTGCCCTCACTGTCATTGGGGTTAGCATTAACAGGCTCTGTATGGGATGTCCACGACAACCTCTGATTTGGCCGTGTGTCTAGTAAAACCACTGCAACAGAAGACAGGCATCATTAACATTGACGCAATACCATGATTACTTCATATATTCCTTTCTGGCGTACTTTCATCTCAAACACAGATTATCTTGTTTACAGCCTTTCACAGTGATTACAAGCAATTCACATAAAATCATACAAACATTTCCTGTGATGGACATAAGAGTGTACACATATTCGGACATTTATTCAGACATTTATACACAATGTAAGTTCAGCAGGAGAAACAATACATACAGCATTATCACCAAATTGCTCTACAACATAAATGAGAGGGAGATCATCAGAGGGTGATATTTTCTATGGCTCGGCATGCTAAGTGCCAAATTTCATTATTGTGAAAATAATCCATAAAACCACTGAAAACAGATTCAAACTTTCAGTTAAAACTTGCAAGCAAATATAATGGATATTTGTGTTCCAAATGACATGAGCATCGTCTGTGACCCTGAAATGCTTATAATATTTGTCAGTACTTGTCAAGAAAACTCTTCATCAATGTTGGCCAACATTTATACCATACTCCAAAACAAAGGATGAAAAATTCCATTACTGGAAATAGTTGAGTGTTGTAACATCTATCTCAATATGTACAGTTATTCACATTTTGACTATGTTTGTTCTCTCCCACCAACTCCAGCCAGACTTCACATGCAGCAAACATGGAGAAAGGAGAGCTACCAAAGAATTAACATAGGAGAAACTAAGGTAATGCAGGCATGTTTTATGTTTTTTTTAGTTAATATTTCCCCCTTCCTGCCATCAGTAATAATGGTAAACACATACTAAACTGGGGATAAAAATCTGTAAAACAAGTACGTACACTGGTCTGCCTGCCTAATCATAAAAAATATACAATGCTATTTCATCTGTTAAGACAGGGTACCTGAAACACTAACTTCAATTTGTTTACATGGGAATAACAAAGTTTGTGAAGACAAAATAATATTTTTTTGTGGTACTTTGGATATCACTTCAGTAGAAGTTATTCGACCCTATGAAAATGTCAAAACTTGAACATTAAATAATATTCCTAAATAACCAATGGCACTAAGCCATCACTATGTTGATTTGTGTGCAACGTTTCATGAAGAAGTAAAAATTGGATTTTGAGTTACGTTTTAGGAATGGAACGATTACAGACAAGACGGACATTGTATAGACTTCATAGCAATGTCTGACTTAGCAACCCCAACTAAATCCCTCCATTATGATTGATGCATATGGATATAGTCCACAATCATGACGATGTTGCCAATCTATTACACAAATGGATTATTGTGGTAGTCATCAATGTGACTGCTCGTTAATTTGCTGTTATCAATCTTAATCAGCTGTCATCAATATCAGCTTTCATCTGATTGCTTGCAAGCAATAATGGCTAATAAAATCTGTATTTTTGCATCCTGAATGATGGCCTATGTCACACTTAGAAAATTCTAAACGGGTATTTTCTTTACCCTGTCACAGACTGGTCAATGTCTACCCCTGATCCCCATCTTATCATGCTTATAGCACGGACACTTTCACACTGGATCGTTATGTTTCTTGGCTAACCTAACATTGTTTCTGTTCTGCTTTGGCCTGAAATGAAGTAACAGCAGAACCATATTTCTTCTGCTTTTTGGACAAGCTCATTTGTAGGGAGGAAAACACTGTTGTCTCCAGAATTAAAATGATGTTAACAGAGCCAAGTTGCTTTTAAGACAAGTCAAGAGCATAAGGTCAAAATGCAAGGTCAAATCAAGGCTAAAAATTAAAATAATGCAAAAAAATGGGAAATATGTATCAAGTCTCACTGCTAACTAAACATATATTTTACAAAATTCCATTTGATGTTGAACAAAATTGGTTGAGTTATTAATATTGTTGTCATGTCGTTTTGTACTTGTAAACAGAAAAAGTACCGGTACAGAATTCTAATCATATTCATTTTTGTATAGGACCTGTTCTTGAGAAACACCATATATTATATAATATGATTTAAACTCTTTCTATACCTTCCAATCAAGCGATTTAGTGCCTTAAAGGCTTTCAAGAACCAGACATTTTTATTTAGAAGAGGTTTATTATTAAATAGTAATGTTGCAAATGTCTAGTGTATGGTGTGCTTACAGTAATTAAGGAAGAAATATAGAGTGGTTTACAAGTTATGCACCGAAAACAAACCGATCCTCATTTGAACTTGTTTCCATGGAACGTTGATAGTACAAAACATAAAAAGCACAAGCTCAGCACTCATTTGATATACGTCACAGCCCATTTCTGTATAACCCACCAAACTTGGCCAGGGGATAAATATACCCACATGATCAAGAACAACCAAAACCACTTTTGGGGATAGCGACCCATAATACAATTCCATCTGTTCGTGCTTCACAAGGTTGCTCAATATGCAATCTGTTCATCGAACATGTCTACAGCAATGGGAATCAAGAAGCATACATTTATCGCTACTGCCATAGCAAACCTGCTTTGTGAAAGACTGACATAGCCCTAGATAGATTTCCATCAAAGCACCCTTCATCAGAGAGACAGGGACTAAGTGACACAAGCCTGTAAGTCCAGCAGCTCCACAAGTAATTCATGAAAATATCATTATACTGATCACAATCCCTGGTTATTGATTCAGATGTTTGTTCGGAAGAGAGTTTATCAGTCTGCAGATCAAATTGTCTTCGATGTCAACAATGGTCTAAATAAATTAATACAATCATAAACAGACTGCTGTAATACAAAAGGAAAACCATAAACTTTCAAATTTATTTTATACAGTGATTCACGGTTTTAGCAAAAATGTCCACTTATATTATTTATTTATTTATTATTACGGACTGTCATGGAAAATATGTATTGAATCCCACTACTAACTAAAGATATACAAAATTCCATTCCATTCCATTCCAATATAAATGGTTGAGGTATGGTCTAAAATTGGGTTTTCAATATTGATGTCATGTACATGATGTACTTGAAAACAAATAACTACAGAATTCTAATTATATTCTTTTCTGCATGGGATCAGTTTTTGAGACACTACTAAGATAATGCAATTCACAGTACCATGTCAACAGCATCAAGTCTATTCTTGTTAACCACGTCAACCATGTCAACCCATGACCATTTCAAAAAGAAATCTCCAGCAACAGACCTACTTTGGTCCAGGTGCGTGCCTACCCTTTCATTAACTGCCACTCACAGTTTTGACAATTGCATACAAACTAAACCCTTCAATATGGTATAATTGATCATTAAGTTGGAGTATATGATACTAAACCACAAATACACATCAGCATCCAAGAAATTGAAAGGACTTTCAAGATGAAAATATACATGATTACCCTGCATGACACGGGTTAAGCAGTGTTCACATCGCTAGTCATACCCTATGAAGATGTAATAATAACCTACACACCCAAGTCGACTCACTCAACAGAAGCAATGTTTGCTTTTATGAAAGCTTAATTTTTACTTCAATGGAGGTAAAAGCCTCCCTTGGGCCTCAGCTAAATACTTGCTCCAGGGTATGGGCAACCCTGGTACATTTGATGATTTGTCATGGCAATCTTTGTCAATGATAACAAGTATTTAGGACAAAACAACTCTATGTTCCTCTTTCAGTCTTTCAAAGCTTGTCTTGAGGGCAAAAGTGATGACAAGAATAAAACGTTTCTCTTTTAATCAAATCATCCTGGTTTTTTACAGAAACATGCATGGAATGCATTTACTTCACAGCCAGTAATGAAAGCCCTTCTGAACAAGCTTGAGGCTTTGCAATAAATATGACATCACCTCCACAATGTCTGAGAAGTTGTTTGATATGTGACCCAAATCGTTACCTTTGTGATCTATAGCTAATGTCCTATTACTTATCGCCTGCCCTACATGGAGTCTGATAATGTTCCATTTATATCCTGTATTTGTCTGCCATAACCAACATAACATGCCACATGACCTTCACACCACTAAGAAAATGTCCTGTCTTACAATAAGAGATTCTTTCATGCTAACTGACAAGTTAGTTTCACATAGCAACATGAGACACAGCAGTGTCTATTCTGAGACAGCTCTGGTATACCAGACAGGCTGTGTGCTACACTTATTCTGATCTAACGGATGAAACTGTTTAACGTACCTTACTATTCTTCCAAGTTACATTCAGTGAAATGTAAGATAACCTAACTAAATATGGAATGTTTGCTGAATGCTCTGCCTCCAGTCTGACAAATGATGCATCACGGATTCACTACATTCACTGTGATCATATTCAGCATATTATGAAACAGCCTCAACACCTAGTTCACTGACACAGTTACTAGAATGCTATTTCAGATTTTACAGGTTGGAAGTACATGAAAATATAGCATTTAACAACAAATGCTGGTATGTTCGTTGTCTCTTTTCAATACATTAAAAGTAATACATGTAGTTAAATTGCATACATATGTAGTGATTTTTGTTTTGTAAACACAGAAAGATGGCAGCTATGGGTTCTTTCTGGGTTCTGGGTTCTTTCCGGACACAAAAGTGAGCTGAAAATGGCTGTGGATAGGGCTACCCATTACAACTTCTGCACTAAGTTCAATATGAAGGTGGCTGTAGTTTCAGTATCTCTCCCATTCCAGCTAAATTCTGCATCACACCTTAAGCCTTGATAGCCTGATAATGAGTAATCACAGCTGCTTGAGGATGCTTTCTGGTAAGCTAGAAGTAAGGTCTTCCATTTATACTTTGAACTTCGAGTGACGATAGGCAAAAGCATGAAGAAAAAGATTTAACCACTGCCCATGATGGGGAAATGAAGATGGCTTCCCTAAGAATGATTTCCACATGGCAATTTTGTGGTACATGATTAATACAACAGCCACAGAAATTGTGGACAGGACAATTGTACTGAAATCAAAACTAGGGTCCAGCATGTGGTGAAGGCCAGGGCATGCCCACTTACTGCAGGCATTTGAGTGATGTGTACCTGTATGTTGGACCTTGCCTG